CCCAGAGAGGTGGTGGAGTCTCCTTCTCTGCAGACATTCAAAACCCGCCTGGCCGTGTTCCTGTGTGACTGCTCTGGTGATCCTGCTCTGGCAGGGCTTGGACTGGATGAGCTTTAAAGGTCCCTTCCAACTCCTTCCAACTTCTGTGATTCTGTGATCTCCATTCTCCTACTCTCCCGTTGGAAAGAATTAAGAAAAAAATCAAGTCTCCAGAGGAGGAATGGATACGCTACTTCTTTCAGCTTTCCCTTGGTTACTCTGTGGGGCAGGAGGCACTTCACTTCAGTTTTGAAGACCTCCGTTGAAGCGCAGCTGTCTTGCACGCAGATGATGGACATAACAGGTTAAGAGCATTACCACGTGAGAAAAGTTCATGGTAACAAAAACCCAAGCATGAACCCTTCGCTGGTGTCACGATGGACACGGTAACTGAAGGTACACGTGCTGCATGTGCTATAGATAGACAGGATACGTGCAACAGAAAAAAAACACTGCTGAAGAGGGCTTATTCCTATTTTAAAACCCCTACTTTTCTGCAGCAATGTTTTAAAAGAGAAGGATATTTTTAAAAGGTACAGTACCGAAGTTCATCTATTACACCTAACATATTGTTATATTTATGCACACATATTATAATGTTTGCTCTGTTTATGCATATTAAAAAGCAAAATGATACTGATTAAATATGTTTAGTAAAGAGCATATAAAGCTACTATTGTACTACAAATTGCAGATGAAAATAGAATTTCAAGGCCATTTCACAGTGCACAACTGATGTAACCTTTCTGTTGCAGGTAAAAAATTATCTGAACATACCAACTGTGTCCTTTTAATTTTTAATGTGGATGTTTGCATGGTCTGCAAAGTCTGTGGTTTTAAACATTGCGAATTTTTCCTCATTATCAGAAGTTCCTATTTAAAAATTCAAGGTATTTTAGACTTTATGAGGAGGAAGACAATGTTATCTTTCTGAAGTTAACATTAATTTGGCTGTCAACATTAAGTACTTGAATTTTGCCTCTAATGATTCCATAGATTCAGTGTCAGTAGATTGCACATTCTTTAAATACAAAAGCATTAATTTTATACAAGTCACACCAATAGCTGTAACTGCAAATTACTCAAAAAATAAGGTGCACAGATTTAATTAACTTGTTTGGCTTTTTTTCAATCCTTGATTTCTAAGATTCAAAATTATATTATTCAATATTATTGCCTACCACAATACCCAAGTATTTATTCAAATACACAGGCAAAACATATCACCTAATTGGACTACGCTGGAATGACAAAGGCCGTTACGGTGTCTAAACTTTTTATTAATTGGGAGCTTTTCCTAAACAAAAAGTTTAGGACTAGGAAAAATGATTCCTACAAAAAAGCGCCTGTTTTTAATTCAGAGGAGAATGGTCCCAGCAGGCAAAACTGCTGCTTAGCAGCTCATTGTTCCACAATAAAACTACATACAAAATATGGCTTTACATTTGAAATGAATTTTACGTACATATTTACAAGAACGTTTAAATATCCATTATTATTTCAATATAATATGAAGTATCTGTGAAATCCTTTGAGCCTGCCCTAACAAAAACCGCAGGCCCATTCACCCGCAGTTACAGAGCGGAGCTTTGAACCTGACGGTGGAGGCTGAAAGTCCTCATAAACGCACATAAACGGTTGAATACAGCTCACACGATCCACCTGCACTGGAAGTGGACTTAAGACTAGGGTATAAGTAAATTTTATCATGTTAATTTTCAAATCTCTGCCGTGCCTATAAAGACCACTGCTACTCAGCCTTATCAGCTTCAAAGTCTCATGGCAGTTTGTGGCTGCAGCCTCCCAAACACACTTTATGAGTGAGCACCAGAGCAATTTCCTCAGGCTGCTCTGCACCTTGTGCTTCCTTGTTCATTTAATTTCTTTTTAAATGAAGAGGAAAGAGAGGAGATTTGTCCCTGCTAAAGGACAGCAGAGCACCAAGGAGCTTGACTATTTTAAGATCCAGTTGCCTAAAAGGTGGGTCCTCCGTCACTCACTTACCCCACTCCCTCACTAAATATTCTAGAAATAAGCGTATTTCTATGCTCAACGTCAGCACGTGGTAGGATCTCTCAAACTCGACTGTATGCAAACGCTGGGGTTAATTATCAGAGAAGTGTGAAAGGGGAGAGGGATTTTCTAAAGGCCTAGTCTCTTTCTTCAAAGCTTTAATTTTAACCGTGCCAGTCTGAAGTTTACACGAAATCTAAATACATCTGAAAGACTTTATTCAAGAATAATTGGGATGTAATTTCAATAAGGGACTAAGAATTTAATAACTAGTTTACAAAGGTAAAAGCAAAGCAAAGAAGTCATTAGTGTTCTAGTCAGGCTTCCTAGGAAAGCATTAAGTTAAGAATCTTTTGAGAACTGTAGAAAGGCAAGAGAAGGGAGGGAGAAAAGATTAAGAGCAGCTTGTTCTGAGAAAGAGGGGCTGATGCATCGGTGGACACCAGCGAAGTTAGTGCGTGAGTATCTCAAATTCGCTGGAAGAGGAGCAGAGCACGTGATTGCACGGCTTTGTGCTCAACTGGAAGCCTCATCTTATTTTTCAATCTTCAGATTTCACAGTACTGATCTCATTAAGCCAGTGTTTGCACGTTGTAACTGCAGCAAATGTGGTCACTGTGCAAAGGCTGCAGAGTGATGTTGCAAATGAATGAGGAGTATTTAATAATTGCCGTGGAACTACGTTTAACTGCAAGTGTAAACTGAATTAAGTGGTCAAATGCAGTGGTAAAAACACGGCCGGCTGAAGCGATAAAAACATGCCATTAGGCCTAGAAGTTTTTTAGTAGCAATGTAGAATTTATTAGCAATGTAGGTATTGCTGCTTATTTCTAAAGGTATGGAAGAAAAGTTTCCCCTGTTATCACATATTCTAACAGGCTGAATTTTTCTAGTCAGTTTAAGAAAAAAAAAGAAAACCAATGAATCTGACAGTCCTTCAGAGGAGCTTTTTCTGTGCAATTGCTGCCATCAAAATACAGCTGATGTGATACTTTTAGGTATCAGACCAAGGACATGTGCTGAGTACCAAACAACAGTCTGCCTTAGACAACAAAAAATTATGATCACCAACGCAGTTATAAATCAATGAGATAAAAGAACTTTTAATATTTCACAAGAAATTTGCAACATTCGTCAAGGCCTGCAACATAGCACAAATGGAGCAATTCTGAGAAAAGACCAAACAAGGCAAAAGAGACAGCTTTGCTACTCAATGACAGGATCTGGGAAGGAAAACTTGGAAAGCAAACTTCCAAATTACTACTAATGCCAGACAAAACCAGAAAGCAAAGTGTCAAATGATCTTTGCCATTTGCTCAGACAAAAAAAAAGAACAAAAAGAAACTCTCTCTGACATAGATATTCCAAACCAATGTCATAGACGTGATCAAAACTTCATTGTAATCTGTTGGAAAGAGGGTAAGAGTGGAAGACTGGGAAAGTTCAAAAATACTTTCTGCTATCAAAAACTTACAGTTGATTCATTGAAAGGGGAGGATTGAAACTTCAGCTTTCCAGTAACAGTTTGATGTCACTTTAAGCAAGATTGTGCCTCTGTATTTGTCTCTGACTACCTTAATCTGTATATTTGCAGTGAACATAAGGAGGACTTTGATCAAAACACAACATGCATTTTACACAACAAGAAAGTCTACAGAGAGGCACTACATTTACAAAAGCAATTGAAGGTGGTTTCAAAGGGAGTTGACAGATTAGAGGATGATGACACCGCTGCTGCAGTCTCAATGGAAATCTGGCTTGATCTAATTAACAACAACGAACTAGAACCACAAAAAGATAATTCAAACATGATTTAAAGAAGTTATATTACCTTTCTACTAGCGTAGCAATGGAGCCTTTCCCTTACTGATCACAGAACAAGTCACAGGTTGAACACAGAACAAGAATAAAGCCCCGGTATCCTTAATATATCCTCCAGCATTTGAAACTGAAGACCGAGATCTAGCCCAAATATTTGACTACAGAACATCCATGTATTCACATGAAAATGATTAAAAACTGTAAGAGTCACACTCATGACAACTGGAGTGAATTGGGAAACCAAAACGGAGGATTATTTCCAAGACATGACTGTATGTCACCGACTGCTATCACGTTCAAACTGAACACGGCAAATGCAGCATAGCACGCGTGTGTCCGACACTGGCATGTTTCACTGGACACATCTGTCATGTGTATTGAAAGCTCCCAGGTTATTCCCATGTAGTTTAACTCAGTAACAATGCCAGCGACCAATTTTGTGCTGAGATCTCCACAACTGCCAGTATGAGGTGACCGCTACCTGCATGTGGCCTGTAGCACAGGGATCTCTGTAAATCCTAGTTCTGATGCACCTTTTCTACTAAAAACACTTTTATTGGCTCTTCTGACTGACTGATGGCCTTCTCTGAATGACAGTCGCTGTCACTAAGACATAACGTAACTGGTGCTTAGATGCCCGTATTCTTCTGTCCACACATGTATAATGACACACAGCCATCCTGGCATGCAATCATTCTGGCATTTTCCACTGGATGCGTTTTACAGGTGGGCACTACAGCAATGATTTACTGCATTCACAGGAAACGTGTACCTTTCCCACAGAATGCAGAGGTTACTGAGAAATGCAGCAGTCATTTGGACACAGTTGGAGGGCTGTTTGACCACCTGAAAGGCAAGCAGACATGCAGTCTCCAAATAACTGAATTGTGCCATTCTCCTTGCAGTTATCTTCTTGCTTTTTAACTTTTGCTCATGGAATTTAAAAAAGTAACTCTAATTGCAACTGGTAGGTTTTTATTTCCTTCTAACATTACTAGATAGAAATAACACTACCTCAATAGCAAACTGGCAACTACAACTCAACATTTCCTATAATATATACCCCTTACTGTATTAATTCAGGCAATTTTCCTCTTCAGTCCTTAAAGTGATACAGATTTTTTTACCTTTGTGTCATAATCTTGTAGGCATCTGGAAGGAAGCATTCTGTGTTCTCCATCTGGAAAGGGTCAGCATCACAAATCTTGTCATCTGTCCGTCCATAGTTAGCACTTTCTATCATAATAACATCGCTTCCTGGACACCGGAGGTCAATGGAGTAGCCTTCGCAGGAGAGCTCCCTCCTAACCAAACCAAATGGTAGTGCTGCTCGGCTGAAACCTGAAAGAAAGAGAAAAAAACAGGATTGAGCCTAAAGGGTATATTGCATTGGATTATTCTTATCCTGTCACACAGGCCTTAACTCTTATCAGTGTGCTAGAGGAAGTGCACCTTTGCACAGCCTGACCTGGTACCATGCTAAGTGAAGCATCCTTCATGAAACTGTCACATCCCTACACCACTGCTGCCGTGTCCTTTATCTGGGAAAGGAGAGAATTCACAGAATCATAGGATGTACTGGGTTGGAAAGGACCTTTAAAGATCATCCAGTCCAACCCCTGCAGTGAGCAGGGACAATGTTACCAGGTCAGGGTGCTCAGAGCCCCATCAAACCTGACCTTGAATATCTCCAGGGATGGGACCTCTGCCACCTCACAGGGCAACCTGTTCCTGTGATCTATCACCTCATATTGAAGAACTTTTTCCTAATATCCAACCTAAATCTACCTTTTTCTAGTTTATACCCATTACTCCTCATCCTATTGCTACATGCCCTAGTGAACAGTCACCTTTACACTTCTAACCTGGCAAGGGCTAGAAGCAATAAATCCAGCTTCATTAGACTTTCTTAATGTGTGTCTTCCTTTCTCCAGAACGAGCTGGCCTTTTACACAGATTACACCACAGACAGAGAAGATTTTGAACAAATAAATGATCAGTAGCACAAACTAAGATGTGTACTGTATAAAATCTCCTCGTCTCTCCCAAAAATGCTATCTGTGTTTCATGGAATTCTACATTTTTAACACGTTTTTCTGCATGAGAGAATTCTGAAAAATAGGTAACTTCTCTAATGAAGCAGAATTAAATACTTCAGAAACAAAACAGTGGTTCAGATACTCATCCAGATATTCAGTCTTTCACAGACATTTCTTTATGCAAAAAGCACATTGCATCCCAATCTGTATACTACTTTTTCTTGTACACAGCTACTGGTGGATTATTATGACACAGAACATTTCTGTTTCTTACAAAATGTGTGCATTACTGCCTTTTGGAAGAGAAGTTGGGTAAGATGGTGTTAAATATTTATTTCTTTAAAACAGTAAATTCTTTCTAAATTTTCAGCAGAATTACAGATATTTCCTATTAAAAAAAAGTCATCCTAATACAGTACCACAAGGCCATTAATATTTCAGTGCAGGCTGCTAGAGACAAGTTGTGACAGCAAAGAGAAATAGCTGGTAAGTATGGGAAGTTGAAGCTCTACGGTGTTTTGAAGGCAAAGAAAATAAACTTTTCTTTAAAAGTATGATGCATTAGAAGAGGAAAGGAAGTAAGGATCTAAAAAGATCAAGAACAACCAGAGATAACCCCTTGATAGCAAATTCTCACACAAACTGACACTTTTTCTACTGAATTAGTGATCTGCGGATTAAAACTCCCACTGTATGAAGATGATTATCTGTTAGGACTGCAAAAAAGAGCTGCTGCCAATGATCACAGCAGTGCCAGGATGTGGCTCCCTGGCAGCCAGAGCCCATCTTCCCATCCCTCCTCTACCTGCTTGCCCCTGCCGTCCCTGCACCAGCACCAGCTTTCGTCTCACCTGTGCAGTAACCGAATGCAAGGGCTGGTCTGACTCTAACCCCACCTTGCTGCAGCAGAACCCATGAGGTTTTGGAGGATGAGCTCTTTGGCTGGGTGGGAATTCACCTCTGCACAAGGGCAAGGCCAGAGCACAGCAGCCGGGTCTGCTCTTACTTTACATTTTGTGGCACTGAATCCTACGTGAAACCAGTACCGTTACGATGCCGATGCGTTTCAGTACCAGTTAATATGTGAAGAAGCCATGTTGCTGTAGAAAGCACCACAGCTCCATCTCAGAGCCGCTCCTGGCCGTCGGTCTGGCTGCACATACCATGTGCAGTAGCAAACACTATTATTAGAGGCTTGCTGAAGTATCAGGAGCTGAAAGCTGGAAAGAGCTAAAACACGAATCCATCACATTAACGCCCTACATGTTCCTCCCATGCAGCAAATTAATACAACGAAGAGCGAAGCTGCTCACGGCTCAGCGAGGGCGTGAAATGGGCACAGAGAGGGGTACGTGCAAAGCCCCCACCACGCATGCATAGAGCAGCTCCTTTGATTAATTACCGTCACGACAGCCGCGGTGGGACCAAATATAATGCTGCTAGTGACTGCCATTCCTACCGCTCCTGTCAAATTTAATGCTGTCCACACCAAGCTCATCTCATCACAGCAATGGTGCCTGTATCTCCTGCACTCAGCAGGGCTTCCTCTGGTGCACAGCACTGCCCCGGCCAGGCCAATGGCAGTCTGCCCTCAGCCCCCACACCAACTTTTGGGTTTCAATCAGCAAGGAGGGGAACAGCAGCTCTGGCTGTCCAAAGGGCATTTCTGCAGAAGGGCAGAGCAGGGAGGGGCAGGGGGTGTAGGGCACAGCCACTGAGGCGGCAGCGGCCACGCACGCAGCGGCAGGTCAGACGTACGGATCGTTACGGGGCCAGCGCTGATAAACCCACACCCAGCTCGTGTGACAAGAAGCGCTGAACCCATAGTGCAGAACCTGCAGCACAGCCTCCGCTTCTGCTAGGAAATACCTGGAATCCACATACAAGACCTCCGCAGTTTGTTACAGACATCAGCTGCCTGCAAGTCTTATTTCATCATCTATGGCAACTGCTAGAAGTACTCTGAATGTATTTTATCCTGCAATTTTTCCCCCTGCAGGCATCCATGAGAAGTTCTGTATTAGGACAAACATTAAAGACACCAGAGCAATGTTAGAGCACTTCACAGGCAGCAGAGGACACACCTGAGATTGTAACGTAGGTGTTATATTGCAAAAGCAGCAAGCAATAAAGCGAAACAATGCGGCACGTGTTCGGTGGGGAGACTGCTCTGAGGAACCTCCATGGCACAGAAAGAATTTTACCTAAATAAAATACATAAATGTAAAGTCCACTAACAAAGCCATTGTGATCTTTATTCTGAGGCGTTATTTGTAATCCTTTCCGATCAACAAAGAAAAAATAAGCATATCAACAAGCAAAGTGTAATTCAATCCATCTTGCAACCCTGACAATCGAAGAAAGAACTGGTGGGAGGCCCTGTGAGTGAAAAATCAATATTGCAGCTTTGTGCCGTGCAAATGTGAATACTGCCAAATAGCAGTGCTTAGGGTAAAATGAACTGTTTTTCTCCATCTTCTCCTCTCTGAACAAATGATTTTGAAACGACAGCTCTTTTTTGGAGCTATAAAATGTCAAGCAATAACTCCCCGCGCTTTAGGCAAGCGATTGGAATAAATACCTCTTGGCAACAGGTGCAGTGACTTAGGACTGAAATTCATTTACATTCAGGAGATAATTCCCGATAAACAGATGCACTGCCACGGGATGGAAGTTTGAACGACTGGCATCCCAACGCTACTGCCTGGTTCTGCATCATTCCAGAGCTGTTCAGACGTAAGTATGTGGCGCTGTCAATAATTACCGTTGTCATCAGTAACTTTGTATCTCCAGTGCACTTCCTCATGAATATTGCCTGCACTGTACTTTCTAACCAACCTGCGCTCCACCTGCTGCTTGCCTTACTGCACCTTGCGCAAACCTGCTTGGTTTGGCTCTCCTCCTGCAGTTGAAATCCACGTTCCTCGTCTTCCTGCTAATTGCTTCAAGGCAAATTGTGCCATGGCTGCCCCAGCTCCTGCTGCCTCCCACCCAACCCAGGAGCTTCCAGCCTGCAAAGGCCTTTCTGGTGGCGGGCTGGGACTTCCAGCACAACCTAAACATTACCTCAAGGAAGCGCCTATTACCAAACGCAGCATATGCTGCCTGTGAGTCACTCGCGTTTGTATACATTAATCAGTGTTGTGTGTGCGGGCTGTTGGGTTTTTTTTTAAATGGATGAAGATTAATACCTAATGAGAAAAAACAGCGTGGTTTCTGTCCTGCTGACCATTTTGATTATAGAAAAGCTTCCTGGCAAACATATGTTTCCTGCACGTTTTATCTGCTCACAAATTAGTTGAGTGCAGGATCTTCAGTGAAAGAACAAAATAAACTGCTCTTGCAAAACTGCATTTCGAAGAAAAATAGTTAGAGGGGGTTTTCAGTGGAAATATCCACTCTTTAACGTTCTGTTGATCAATCCATGCAGAAAATCATGAGAAAAAAATCTGACACATCAGAAACAGAAATATTTCCCTGTATACTTTAGTCCATGACATTAAAAAATACAAGTCCTATGAAAGAAATGTAACTCAGAATTGTGTTTCAGAAATATGCTAAATTAACATCTGGCTAAAAATTGTTTTATCTAAGTTTGCTACGCCTTGTTTACAGCTTTGGTTCCTTCATGAGAAATTATTTGTCTTGAGAAAGATAACCCAAATTTGTCAAAGTGCAAAGAAAAGTTAATAATTCACAGCATCCTGCCCACTAGCATACCATCTTTTTGAGCTGTCAATAACAAGAGAGTGCGCTACGTTTGGTAGATAAAAGCAAAAAGGCACCACCACATTTGAATGTTCACCCCATACAGAGGGAAAATAGTGGAATGTAAACAGGCTAACATCAGTACTCCTCGACATCAGAAGCGAGGAACCTTTGATTAAAACTTAAAGCACGGAGAAAGTCAACATGGAAATATAAAATTATTTCAAAGAATGCAGATACTGGAAGAACTGAGAATCCAAAACAAATCTTTAGAGAAATAAATATATATGTCTCTGCAAGCAAGAAAATATTGCTTCTTGTGTTATTTGGCTCTAACGGAAAGGTCTTTTGAAAAGAGCACATCTTTTCAAACAGAATGTTTACAGTTGTCTCTTTCACAATCTCTTTTATTTTACCAAATCATGCAACATGATGATTCGAGTTCTACACAAGATGAAGTGATGCATCCTGGGCAGCATTTCAATAATATATGTTCAACAAATGCAAAGCCCGACGAAAACTGTGCCGAGAATCCCCTCCCGCTCCCAACGAAGTGTGTACGTGCACACACGGAGGGTGCGCAGAGAGAGCTGA